ATTTATTTCATGGTATTGTAACAAGCAAACGTTGAATACATTTTTCATTCGTGTAAGAAGAATTATTTAACACGATAAATTTAGCTGTACTATGGTTATTTTTAATCTACGACCACAGGTCAACCTGATTTTTAATCCCTACGAAATTAATTTAACCACGAGTAAGTAACGAGAACGCTAAAACCTATGTTTCCATTGAAGAATATTGTAAAAACGTATAAATTGTTATATGCAATGTTATAACAAATTGTCGGAAGTATAAATTTTTAATAAAATTGTGAAAATTGATAAATTATACCGTGTTACGATATCGGAAATCTCCCGCGAAAATCTCCCGCGAAAATTTCCCGCCTGACCTAACCGACGATTTTGCTAATGACTTTGGGGAGAGGGTACCGCAGGTATATAAGGACCCGCCGATGTCCCGCGAAATCATTTACCCTTTATACTGGGCCCTAGACACTTCGCGGCGTATTTTGACCTGAAGGTTCTGAGATGTGAATAGAGTGGTCGGGGGCTACTAGCTAGTCTATGTCCACCCTGTACACACTCAGCCTTCTTGTAACACTTGTATACATTAGAATCAATTAGAATTTCTATTACTAATTATTAAACAAATTTTAACAATTACCGGCACTCGCTAGGCACGTAATATCAGACTTTAAATACTCGACTTCGAACTTCGGTTTAGTCATAATTCTATTAATGTTATAATAACGTATAATTTATTAATTTTCACAATTTTATTATTAATTTATACTTCCAAAAATTTGTTAAAACATTACATATTATTATTTATACATTTTTGCAAGTTTCTTTGACAAATAAGTACGTTTCAACGATCTTATTACTTTCTCGTTGTGAAATCAAGTTCGGAGGATTAAAAATCAGGTTGACCCTTGGTCGTAAATTTAAAATAGCCATAGTGAAGGTGAAATTATTATTTTAAATAAATGTTTCTATACGAATTAAGAATCTATTCAACGTTTGTTTGTTGCAATACCGTGAAATAAATTGTATTATATATTTTCTCAGTTTCGACTGAATTTAAAGTTCGTAAGGATTAGATATCAGGTTGACCTGTGGTCGTAGATTAAGAATAGCCATAGTGAAGGTAAAATTATTACGTTAAATAATTGTTTTTATACGAATTAAATATTTATTCAACGTTTATTTGTTGCAATACCGTGAAATAAATTGTATTATATATTTTTTCTGTTTACACTAAATTTAAAGTTTTGTTTACATGTTATAACAATTAGAATGTAGACGTTTTGCCGTTTCACGGTTTTTCCTCTGTTAATTATGTGTTTATAAATCATTTCAAACTAAAGCAGCACCATGCCCACCCTTAATTAAACCGTCTCAGTGGTTTACCGTAATTAATAATCTATTTTCGGAATTTAAACGAGAATTTTTGAATTTTAGTAAATACTAGAGTCAGTGCATCGCGTATTGAA